ACTCGCAGAGGGAGTAAGCTTCCTCTCGGCTATCATACATAAAAAGAAGCCAATGGCTTCCTCAGGCAATTCAAAGTTTCGGCTCAGAGGAGCATTAAAAGGAATGTAACGTAGACTCCCACGGCCCCTGGTCTCTGTGGGTCCACTCAGATGGGAGGAATAATAACTGAATAGGCCAAGGTGTGCCTGAAGTCACAGACTCCAACTTTTAGAACTCATTCAAGTGGGGTTGTAAGTGTAAACACATACCCTTCTGTTTCAGTGCTTGTGTTGGCTGCGGCTCCTGATAACTGTCCATGTCTTTTCATGAGTCTGTTCCTCTTACTGCACTGTGAGGTCATCAGAGACTTATGCCCCTTTAACTAGCGCTATGGCTAGAATGCACTCAATGTTCTTAGCATCTGTGGAATAACTGCATGGATTAAGAGTTAAAAAATATTCTATAGCCAATGGGCAATCATTGAGATTAGTGTTTTGCTTTTGGATTTTTGGGAACAAGCCTGAGACACTTGGAAATGGACAGTGGATGTGGTTTATAAATTCTGGCCCTTGATTTCTCCCATCTGGTTATGTATATATTGTGACTTTTTCCCACTCTTCTGTTCAAGAAGTAGAGTCTATTTTCATGCCTCCTCAACATGTTAGATCTGAGAGTTGTTTAGTGGTGGCAGAGGGTAAGGGACTGCTCTGTGCACTGCCCAATGTCCCATGTTTAGTAGAATCCTTAACCTGCACACACCAGATATCTGTAACCCACCTTTCCTTTCCAGACATGACAATGAAAAATGTCCACAGATATTTCCAAGTATCTCCTAGGAGCAAAAACTAAGTGACCTAGCAAAACTTACTGATTTCTTCTTCAGAGCCTTGAGTAATCAATCCCCATGCAGGGCACAGTGAGTAATTTTCTTTGCCCCTTGGACTCATAGATGCCTCCCTGGGGGCACCTGCATCAAGCCAGCTGGTGTGTTTGGAAGGAGCACAATGTTATCAGACCAACTTGGTCACCCTAGGTCTAAGTAGAAAGATGGTGACACTCACTTTTGCCAGACTGCCAAGGTCTCCTATGTATTCACCTCTAGAGCTGTCATAGCACGAATTGACAGACGTACTTTTCCACAGCTCTGGAGGCTGGAGGTCCACAGTGAGGGGGTGTCTAAGGCTCCTGGTGGCTGCTCACAATCCTTGGCATTGCTGAGCTGGCAATTCAATCCCCCTGACCTCTTCCCAAGCATCACCTGGCATCTTCTCTCTGTGTGTCTGCTTTTCCTTTCTAGGAGGACACCAGTCCCTCGGTCAGGGCCTACCCTGATCCAGCATGAAGTTGTCAAACTACTCACACTTGCAAAAAGCCAATCACCACATAAGGCCACTCAGTGATGTTCCAGGGAGACAGGGATTCAGCGGATACTGCTCAGCCATCAGCAGATTGCCAGGCAGTGACTCTGTTCTCCAGTCATTGTCCCCACCCAGCACTCTGCAGGGCCCACCTCCAACCTAGCCAATGCCAGGGTTGAGCTGACCAACAAAAGTACCTGAGGGACTGCCTATCCCTCCTTGGCTGGGCTTTGCTGCTACTGCCCTGCCCCTCCCAGCTTCCCCTTTCCTGCTTCTGACTCACCTGTAGCCTGTGCTCTCTGATGTTTAATTGTGACCATCAAAAAAGACTCCTTGCTGCAGGGAGGAGTCTGTCACTCTAAGTGTGGGTTCCTGGACAGATTTTTATCTGTTGCTTTTCTGCCTTTCTCTGAGTTGTGTGTAAGAGACCACAACTCTGTATACCCATGGTGGTAATTTGCTTTCACTATGAGGTAGAAAACAGCTATTTGCATTTTCCATCTCTCCTCCTAACTCCCACATCTTTTGAAAAAGAAAAACAAAACTATTTCAAGCTACAGTACACACCACAATGGGATTATGGTTATCTCTGACCCTCGGAGTTCATCCTGGGTTCTCCGTTTCTCTTTCCCACCAGTGTCCTTGAAGAGTGGCAGTGACAGAATTAACAATAGCCCTGATGAACCTCTTCCAAGCAATTCCAGGCACCTGACATGTGGCGTGGTGTGGAGAAGAAAAGGTTAGGTGGACCCAATGGCCACAAGCCCCCTGGGGTTGAAAAAGGGGAAAACTCACTAAACACAGCACCAGAGCTCTTGGCCTTGAATCAGCCCAGTAGATCCACAGTGGTAAACCCGAGAAAGCCCTTGGGAAACACAAGCCAGGAATTTAAAGTAGCTAAGAACTAAGATTTAATGACTCAAGGTCCAAACTTGTGTAGATAAGAAAAGTACTTTTCAGGGGCAACTAATCCAGTGATGTATGTATGTCGATCATGGTAGAAAGATGTGAGACCAGTAAAACTAACCACTAACTCATGACCTTTGAACCCTAAACCACTATTTATTTTCCTAACCACCATTGGACATCCTGGGACAAGTCAAATTACTTTGCAGATTCATGTTTAGAATGTAACACACATTTCATCCTTTGCAACACAGTGGAATCACCTGAAATTCAGATTTAATCTATCAAGAGTGTGTAGTGGATTTTTCAGATCCCCAGCAGGTGCTAATCAGTAGACCCAGTTCAGAAAACTTGCAGTTAAAAGTCAGAACTCTGGATGATCATTAGTATCCCGTTATTTGTTACCTAGCAGCAAAGCATGGTTGTGACTGTGTTCACAGGACTCTACCATCCTGGCAGTGTGTCTGAGCATCTTTCCCAGGAGGTATACTGCTTTTCAGTATGGCAGGCCAGGAGCTTGGAAAGAGTAGATTCTACTCCATTGACTCTATGATTTTCATGAGACACCACTGCCTGAGGAACTCAGGAGCAGAGAGCAGTGACTTGCCCTGCCACAGTGCAGAGTCTCTCTCTAAGTGTCTCCTCCTTAATGCTCATTTGCCCCTGCTGCCCAGCATGGCGGGCTTCACGGTGGCCTTCAGTTCTCCCATGCCTTAATACCTTGGTTCTACCAAAACAGAAAAATATTAGTAGCAACTCAGTTCTTAAAAAAAAATACACATGAAACTTCTCTTCTGGCTGAATATTGAGTATACTATTCTGGTGACGTATGACAAGAAAATAATTGAGAAATACATATTATGTACTGAGAGGGAGAAAAGCAAGGGTAAGAAGCATACATGCGAGTTTAATGTATAGAGTCTCCTGGGAAATAAATAACCACCTTAAAGAAGGACTAGAGAGATACTAAAAGGAGATGAGAAGGTTTGAGGTTGACCAGATCCAAGGGGAGTTCAAATCGTCTCTAAAACCTAGAGGTCCCTATGGGCTGAAGAAGATGAAAACATGGTGGGAAAGTAGGATGAAGAATCTAGAAAGGCCAAGGCATGGCTGAGGAGCCCCCACAGCAGGTGGGCTGCTCCCCAGGACCCTGGGATGGTAAAAGGAAGAATGATGTATTTTCCACTTCTTGAGTCTTCCACACTGGAGTCAAACTTTCATGAGGGCATGAGCACGCATGCTGCTCACCTTCAGTCCACCATTAAGCAGAATGCTTGGCCTAGGATAGAGCCCTGATGAACATCATTTAGTCAACTGCACAGTGAATGACTGAATGAGTGCTGTGAATGTCAGGTTAGACAAGTTCACAGTCAAATGAATCAGGCAATTCAATCACAGTGAAATGCTCCCCAGCCTTTAAACAAAACAGTAAATGTGAAGATAAGAAAGCCCAGTATTCACTGATTAACTGCTACATAATACAACATGTACCAACATTAAGCCCATTAATCCTGCCAGTCACCCTTTTATTTTATAGAGGAAGACATTTTTACAGAGGAAGAAATTTCACAAATGTTAAATAACAGTCAAGGTCACATAGTGAGAAAACGGCAGAGGTGGTGTTCAAATCCAAGTCTTGCTTTTCTAGTATCACATCCAAGGCTGTTGGCACATGTCCACCTCTACTAGTCATTGTCTGAACTTGTAGTGTCTCCCAAAAAGCACTGTGGCCAGTTCAACAGCACTGGGTTCTGAGAGCAGACCTCCCTACTCAGCTTCCACCGGAGTGTCTCATCTCCTCTGCTCTATAACAAGCTTCCTGATTTCCATGTACACAAATAGTTGTTGTGGAAACAACAGCGGGAAAAAAAAAATCATGAGATCATTGCACGGACTACACTGCTTCCTAAAGTCAAGGCAAAAGTGTGGTTTCTGGCCTCCACGCCATCCCCAACTTGCTGTGGGATCATGGTCAGACACTTCTGCATCCATACACTTGGGAGGTTGAATGACAGTGTAGAGATTGCCATTCTTTCTTAACTTTTCAAGGAAGACAAGTTTAAATGCTCAGTGAAAATATGGAGATGGCTGGGTCACCTAGATAAACTCTAGATAAAGCTGAACTCCAGCAATGGCAGCAAACTGGAAGGTCTGGATGATGTTTGCCAAATAGTTTTCCCTCAGTATCCACCAGGGACTGGTTCCCAGGATGCCCCTATTTGCATACCAAAGTATAAGGATGTTCAAGTCCCTTACGTGAGCTGGCACAGAGAGTATGTTCATAAAACCTAGGCATGTCTTCCATATACTTCAAATCATCAGATTGCTTAGAGTATCCAGTGTAGAAGTGATGTAACTAGTGTTATACTGCACTGGTTAGAGAATTAAGACAAGAATACAGTCTCCATGTGTTCAGTATTCAGGCACTGTTACATTTATTTTTAATTCATCCTTGGCAGAACCTAGGAATACAGGACCCACAGTGGTTGTTGCTGAATGCTGAAAATGATGCCTGCTAACACCAGGACCAGGGCTCCATTGGCTTTTAAATCAGCCTACTGTGCCTAGAAACTCAGAACTTCTGTCTCCTGTCTAGCTATAACTTAGAAGAATCAGACAACCTTTTCTCCTCTCTCCCTTTCCCCTCCTTGTAAAGCAAACATGAGCCAGTTTTTTGGCCTTACCTCACAGTAGACAGAAGATGACACAGTATAAAGGTGTGAGGAGATAGAGTCCACCAGGCTATCGTGACTTACCAAGGGAGATGTAACAGATGAATGTATTGGTTCTCAAAGAACTCATAACTCGAAACCATGGCACTGTCATCAATGGCTTGACCATTCTTATACCATGTTACCTCTGGCTTGGGCTGACCTGATGATGAAGAAATAAGAATATTCTTGAGTGTCTTTAGAAAAAAAATCATAAAATTACGAATAAGAGAAGTCCATTAACAGTAAGGAGAAGCATGATAGATCATGTCAGTTGGGGACCTAAAGCCTTCCTCCCACAGATACCAATGTGTTACACAGTAAGCACTATTTGAATATGTTTTGTTACCTAAAGTGTTGCTGAGCTGGGAATGGACATTCCAGTTGAAAATGTTCTTAATCCCTAGGAGCTATTTTTTTTAATTATTCACTAGTTGAAAATAATGCAAAGATAAAGATTGTATCATTTCAAAATATATGGAAATAAAGACCCAGCCAACAATAACCTTGAGGAATGTACTTGCTTTACTCAGTGGCTCTTACTGATTGAAATTCTCATATTTCATAAAATAGTGTATCAATTTGAATGATTTTTAAGCCAAATGATTTCCATCCATATATAACAAAAGACATCATAACAATTTGGCTTTGATCTCTGGGATGATAACCAGTGTTAATCTAGCCCAGCATTTGTATCCTAATGTTCCTTTATTAAATTGCCAATAAATACCTAGCTTCTTGGGCCTTAATGTTTTCTAATTCTTTATTTAATTAATGAGTTGTTGATCAAAATCTTTGAAGTATTCATTTTATACTTGCATAGGAATCTTTTTACCTTTTTGGAAACCTTCCTTTACCAGTGCCCAAAACAGCATGTGGTGATCCCAGAGAGAGCAGACCAAAGGAGGACAGGTACACCGTTCCCTTAGGGAGGGTGAAAGAGGGTGGGATGCTGGCCTCCCGCTGGTGCTGTGTGGGCCGGGCTGATGACATTCTCACAGACATTGGGAGTCTCCCCTGCTGTTTCATTAACCAGAGGTGATGCCAAGGGCTTCATTTGCCAAAACCCTCAGGACTGCCATCCACCCCGAGGCAGTACAGGGGAACAAGGGTGTCAGTCTGTCCCAAACAGCTTTCTCATCAGCCTCCCTATCTGTATCCCTGTGTCATACATTCTATATTATCATTCTGAATCCAGCCCAGGAATGCTCTCATTCTGTCTTGCTTATCATATGAGTTTCTGTCTTACTTATCATGTGAGTTTTGGCCAACAACCCTAAGGATTGTAAAGAGAAGAACTCCCCGCCACAGGAAGGGGAAAATGAAGGAGGATGGGTTGGTGGGACCTGGATCACAGGCAGGCCCCAAGGTTCCTCCACCCCTCCCTTCCTCCACATCCTCAGGATGAGTGTCATGAATGTGCTGTTTGGCAGCCTTGGGTTCCTCTCCTCATCTCCTCTAGGTGGATGCCTGAGTCCTTGGCCTGAGCCACACATGCAGAGGACAGAGCCATATGCTGCAGCTGCTTGCTGGAGCCTCTCGCAGGTGAATGACCAGACCACTGGGCTGTTCTGAAAACCATCCAGGAGGCTGCTGGCATGAGTCCTGTCTGTCTGCTCTTCTCAGCCTGGGAGCACCTCCTCAGGAGGTCTACCTGGGGTCCTCAGTAGGAGGCACTTTGCTGTTCCTTCTTGGGAAGGGGACTTTCTTGAAGGAAGTGCATAAAGCATGCTTGTACTGAGCATGGAATCCCTCAATCATCCATGATATGGATGAAGTGAGCTCTCTCTTTCTCTCTTTCTGCACTTGTATCTTTCCCTTCCTATCCCACTCTATCCCCAAACATGGCCCATATGTGTCTTTTACTTCCTAACCTTTTACATACACCTTATCACTTTGTAAAATGTATTGGTGCCTGTACTTAAAATGCTTTTCAAGTAAGAGGAAAGAACTTAGGAAACATTATTTTGGTCCCAAACTGAGGCCACAACATTCAGACTGACAGAGGCTGATGCTTTCTCTGTGTGTCCTTGTGGCAGGCTGTTTTTTCCCGTGGTTTAGTGCAGTTCTGAACCATTAGCCAGAAACGAGACTTGTGTGGGGAAGTGGTACCTGGTACCTCGTGGGTGGTTCTCTTCCCCTCCCCCTTGCTGGGAAGCATCCTGAAAACCTTCCCCTGGTTTTCTGAACCTTCCTGTGAGTCATTTGTTGAAAGCTAACATGTGGGAGGTCTGGCAGGCAAGCGTTTAAGGTCTATACAAGTGCAAGGCTAGCTTGGCCTCTTGATTCATCTGCTGGACCACTGACGAGCAGAAAGGAAGGATACTGCGGGCCCAGAGAGGCTGTGCACCTGCTCCTGCAGCCCTGCTTCTGCATGATGGATGAGGTTTTATGAGGATGTCAGTGAGCCAAATGCAGGCATTTCTTTCTCAGGCTCTTTAGGTAGGACTTTAGGAATCATGTGGTATGGGGGATGGGGACCTGCTAAGGAAAACACAGAAAAGGAAGGAATGTAGCAGCCTGAGAATCCCACCTATGAAGCAGTCCAGAACTGTATGCTCCAAAATCCTGGCCGTACCTCAGTAACTAGAGGTGGTCCGAGCTTTTGCCCCAAGGCAGGCCCTCCAGGAGAATCCTCTCTGCCTGTACCAAGCCTTGTGCCCTGTGTTCTCAGGGCGCAGTCTGAGAACACTGAGTACTAAAACCCTGGGAGGGATGTTACCTGTTTCACATGCAGCAGACCCTCTGTCCAGGAGAAGTGGGGGCAGGAAGGAGAAAGGACGGGAAGAACTGGAGCCCAGGCCCTTACGTGCCCCCATCTGCATACAGACTGCCCTTCAGTCTTTCCTGAGATGCTTGCCTGGCCTGTCAGGTGTACGCTCTCCATTAAACTATGCAGCCTTGTTTAGTCCAGCATGAACGAACGCTGGGCACTCACAGGTTCCCCCTGGAGAAGTGTCCATCTGTCCCAGTGGATGCTTTACCCCATTAAACCTTGTGACCTTGCCTACTACTCCTCTCTAATCCACCTGCATTCTTCTTTGTGAAGACCAGAACTTCTGTCTCCACCCATCTCTGCTAACATCTGCCCTTAGGAAGCATCACTGGTACCTTGATGGTCTTGCAATTTAAGAAAGAACAGAGGGCCCAGCACAGTGGTCTAACGGCTAAAGTCCTCGCCTTGAACACACTGGGATCCCATATAGGCATCAGTTCTAACCTCGGCAGCCCTGCTTCCCATCCAGCTCCCTGCTTGTGGCCCTGGAAAGTAGTCAAGGACTGCCTAGTCTTGGGATCCTGCACCCACATGGGAGACCCAGAAGAGGCTCCTGGCTCCTGGCTTTAGACTGGCTCAGCTCCAGCTGTTGCAGCTGCTTGGCAGTGAAGAATCATCAGACGAAAGATCTTCCTCTCTGTCTCTCCTCCTCTATATATATCTGACTTTTCAATAAAAATAAATTTTTTAAAAAAGGAGAACTTCTACCCAAGACAAGCTACCCCTTCCCTGTGAGAGTAGTTCATTATATTTTCTTTTAGCGATCAGTCCTATTTACTCCCAGGGTGCCAACAGATTTTCTGATTGGCTCAGAGAGATTGATTCTCCAGTGTAGAGAGCATGCCAGTCCTCTCCTCTGTTCCAATGCCCCCTCTTTGCCTTGGTCATAACGCTCTCACTGCCTCCTCGTCTGCCTGGGCAAGGCCAACCACAGGAGACATATTTAGCCAGTGTTAGTCCATCAGTTAAAGAATAACAGAGGATGAGTCAGTTAAGTTCTCCGAAGCAAGGTAATCACATCATTCCTGTAGGCCACAGAAAAGAGAGAGGAGATGATCTGAGCAAAGAACTGCATGGTGAGAGAGGCAAATCACGAAACAGGAAGTTACTCAAAGACATCTTATAGATAAAGTCTTTGGAGGGTTTAGTCAGTTTATTGGTCACTCAGGATAAGCTTCCAAAGTAATCTGCCCTGGATGCTGCTTTGATAACGCCTCTGTGAGCCCAGAAACCCACCAGCAGGGGATGTTAGGGTTAGTTCATGGCCCAGTGATGGTTACCAGATACTATGCAGCGAAGCACAGTGTCAGACTGTTCCAGAACCTTCTGGGAGAGCAAAGTAGACAAAAAGCACAGTGTGTGCCGTGGGGACCCGCCAGGATCTGTCATCCTCTTCTGCCACACGAATCTGAAAAAAAAAAAAAAAATCCCTGACATCACCACACATCCTGGGATTTTTCTGACTCTCCTGTGAAGTTGAGAGGCCACATACAGCTGCTCTCTGCTCTTGGGCCAGTGGCCAGGTGACAAGTCCTTGTAGCTTGCTGGTGAGGTTGTCCTGGGCAGCAGGTTGGCAGTTATCAGATGGCACAAACACACCCCACCTCTGTCTGTGTGACAATCAGAGATGTCTGCCAACACTGCCCAGTGTCCCCTGGGGTATGAGCCAAGGGTGGCTCTGATTGGAAGCCACTGGCTCTATAGCCCTGGGCTGATCTAGTGCAACCAGATTCCAGTGTGAGAGGGAACATGGGCATGTGGGCATGGCACACATGGGCATCCTCTTTTTCTCCATGTAGGACTTTTAAATGGATGTGCACGTCTTTGCCTCCCTAGAAAGGATCCCTAGCTTCAAGAGATATTGAAATAGGGAAACGGGTGCTCTTCTTCTGATCTCCAAGCATTTGGGGAGATCAAGCACTGGGCTAGCATCTCTGAACATGGTTGCACTTGCTGAAATAAATGGGCATCAAACCTTTGTGACCCATTTCATTGCATCTATTGTAAACTACTTAATGGATGGTTCTTAACACCTCCTACATTTCACAGAGGAGGGCCATGAAATTCAGAGAGGCCTACCAACTTGCTCAGGATCACATAACTCTAGTGACTGTCTCCCTGGGGCTGCCCAGTGCAGGTTTACACCTTTAGGATCTAAGGTCCCTTTGGAGCTGCTGCACAGGGCACAATGTACGAGGATGAGGCAGTCCTAACAACAGAGGACCTTCGATTCTCGGCCTTTGGGCTAAGATCAAGTGTAGACCAGAGGACTGGCGTCCTTTCCACTTGACCCAGCAGGTGCATGCTAGCCAACACCACTCAGCCACATCCCTCCTTCCTGGGGCCCTGGGTTTGCAGGTAGTACTTCATTACATCCAGGCACTAGGGTCTCACTCCTCCTTACCTTGCTGAGCAGCTCTCGCATGCTATGGAGCTCAGAAAAAGGAAGGAACTATGCTGCAGTGTGGTTAATGTGGGCAGGGAAGGGGCGGTTAGGAGTGGCTAACAGCGCATCCAGGGATGTAACAGAAACTGGAGCTAAGTTCTTGGTAGAAGCCAGAACGTCACAGTCTTGGTTATACTGCAGAAGGGGAAGCCCCCTTTCCAAATAGACATCTTAACCACTCAGCTCTGAGCCACCAAGATTCAGCTCCTGCCTCTCGCTTCCCCCATTTCCGCGTTGTCTCACTCTGAGGGATGTTTGGAGACAGATTGTTCAGCATGAGTCCAAGGGTTTACCAGCTCTCCCCAAAATCATCTGTAGGATTTTGTAGCAACGAATGAATGGAGGCATTTGTCTCAGTAGCAGAACATAATTAATTGGCAGGACCTAGCTCTAAGTAGAAAATGAGAAGCGCCTTGTTCAAGCAGAAATAGGGTTTCCAAGATGGCGACTGCCAAGCACTAGCCATCTGGGGTTGTGCCCTGCAAGAAGACACAAATCCCAGGCCCCTGGGCCAGTTCTGTTTTCTGGACAGCAGCCTTGGCATTTCTCACAAATGCCTGCCAGGACTACCCCTGTAGGCTCCTCCTGCTCTCTGAAGCTCCCACGGCACTTAATTCCTTTCAAGATGTTCTGTTTTGAAATGTGGTGACTTAAAAAAAGTACGTTCTGAAATCATTTCCATGGAAAACACTCTGCACAAAATATCTGCACAGATGTTCTGATATTCAAAACAAAATATGAATTTGGGATGATACGGTGCTTGGCTGGCCTTGGCAAGAATGTGTGCAGAAAGGAATTTCAATCTCAGATTTAAGATTAAACTAATTCACGTGATAGGTGGAGGGGCTGACTGTAAGGTTAAAGAAGTTACACTCGCATCAGAAAAAAAGAAAAAGTTGATGTTTCTCAGCATTGCTGAATAATCTAGGGGTTAAATGTGTCTTAGAACTCTAAGACCAACTTTAGGCTTTTGAAATTGTGGTTCACAAATGGCAGTTGAGTCCTCAGCTCAGCACAAGGTATTGAACAAATGCTGGCCAAAGTGTAGAGGAATGACTTCAAGTGGGAACCACCAGCTCATGGGACTTGTTGACCTAGAGCGGTAATATGTCCCTCCCCATCTCTGCATCAAAATAAACCCATCTTTTAATTGTTTTTCCATGAACTTTTTGAAGGAGCCTCACAAAATTGCTCCTCTGACAATGTTTTACAAGTTCACTCACGTTGCAGCACATTATCAGAGGTCTTTCATTTGCTGATTCACTCTCCAAATGTGTAAAATGACCAGGGCTGGGCCAGACCAAAGCCAAGAACCCCAGTGGTGCATCTGGGTCTCCTACGTTCGAGGCAAGGACCTCGGCACTTGAACCATCACCTGCCGCCTCTGGGGTTAGGAGCAGGCCCACTGATACAGGATGTGGGCATCCCAACAAGCATCTTCATTGCTTCGTACCCCTTTGTTCCCTTTTATGGCTGATCTGCAACACTTCTTTGCAGCAACTGTTGGGTAGAAGGATGAATTCCCTGATTCTCCAAACAAGTAGGGAAGCAGGCTCTTGAGGCTACTGACAGAATGACTGTGGATCAAATTGAGGATTTGTCACCTACAGGCAAATCTACATCCCACTCTGCTACTAGGAAAGATACTATGCCTATTGCCTCATCTGTAACAAGAGCTAATACTAATGTTCTAAGGTTTGGAATAATGTCAGAAATTGCCTTCCAAGAATCCATAATGTACAGGTCAGGCATTTAGTGCAACTGTTAACACACCACTCGAGGAAACCTGCATCCCACATCGGAGGACACCTGCATCCCACATCGGAGTCCTAGAGTTTGAGGCCCCCAGCTCTGCTTCTGATCCAGCCTCCTGCTGATGCACACCCTGGGAGGTAGCAGGTAATACCTCAGGTAGCCATTTATGTGGGAGACCCAGATGAAATATCCTACCCCAACCATGGCCTTGCACAGCTCTGTTTGCAGCAGGCATTTGAGGAGTGAGCCAGCACATAGGAACTCTCTCCCCATCTCCCTTTCTGTCTCTCTGCCTTTCACATAAATCAATAAACAGAATCTGTTACATAACTGGTTCTCACTAGGGTAATGAGCAGACTTTAAGGAAAGACTTCCCCTCTTCTTCAGTTTCCTCTCCTGCTGTGGGTTACCACAGTGATTTTTAAAGTGATAGCCAGTTATTGAGTAAACAGCCTTCTAGTGTCAGAGAGCTCTTTCCAAGACCTGCTTCCTCCCATAGCATTCCTGGACAGGGCAAGGTGTCAGGAGCTGGGTGAGCTCGAGGAGCTTATGTGCCATCTATGGCTCTCGCCTGGGAGGCTACTTCCTCTCTATCTTGGTGCCAATGTAAAATACAGATGATATCACACTATCTGTCTCCCACATGTTGGCCCTGGGGTACTACCAACTCTTCAGAAGAAAAGGATACTGTAGAAAGCACATGGTTTGTGTTTTGTGACTTCTCAAAGTTGAGAATTCTTTTAGACAGATTGGTCATTCGCAGCTAGCAGTGACTAATCAATATGAAGCCACTGGCACTTGTGAAGGGACCATGGAGAACTTCAGACAACCTGGGAAAGACAACATGCCAAATGGAAGAACTTTGGATTCACCTGTTTTATTGTTGTTGTTTTCACTGTGTGGTCCAGGGCGAATTTCCTCCTTTTTCAAAAACTTGCATTTGCCTTTTATAATTCATATTTTAAATGGATCTGTTTGTGCTGTTAAAAATGCATTTTAGCATCCTGTTTTGCAACGCCATCCCTACAGCTCGGAGCTTTCCTAGGTAGAAGGATTTGCAATCCTTTCAGTCATTTTCCTATGATTATGGGTATAGTTATTTAGCTGTATATACAATCTTGCTGGAGTTACAGCAATGGATTATATAGTCTTTCCTGATAGGTGACAAAGTTTATGTTAAACTTTGGCAATCTTGTCATACCAGCCCAATCCATCAAAGGCTATGTCATTTTCTAAACACTGCTAGGCGGAGTAGCATGAATATTCCATAGTTTGGCAGTTTCAGACTTTATCTCTCTGTTCTTGGGTTGATGATGACATAGAGCTTGGCTGGAATTTCTTAGACTTACAAATGTGCCTCCAGAAATATCCTGGGATGTGTGTCCTGCGGCACCATCATAGTTCTCTAGATACCAAGACACAGATCACCAGATAGCAACCAGTGTTGTGGCACAGTGAGTTCAACTGTCACCTGTGATGCCAGCATCCCACATGGGTGCCAGCTCAGTCCTGGCTGCTCCACTTCAAATCCAGCAACCTGCTAATGGCCCAGGTGCTTGGGTCCCTCCCGCCCATGTGAGACCCGAAGGCTTGGGCCTTACAAAGTGCTGGCTTTTGGTACGACTTGGGGAGTGAACCATTGATTGGAAGACTTCTCTCTCTCCTTTTTTCTTCCTTCATTCCTTTCTTCCTTCTTTCTTTCTTCTCTCTCTCTAATTCTGGATTTCAAAATAAATAAATCTTTTAAAAAAAAAAAAGCAAGAATCATCAGATAAAAGAGATTCACAGTTTGCCTTTAAACAGATGCTCCAAACAGGCGTATTTAGCAGATAGCAGAATGATGTTGTGCAAAAGGCCACAGCTTCCTGTGCCACCATACCTACTCAAATCTCAGTTCTGCCACTTACTACCTTAGTAGGCAAGTGCCTTGGTTTTTGCTTCATCGTAAAATGAAAGCACTGGTATCTACTGCACTGGGCATTGAGGGAGCGTCAGTGGGTCTATTTGCATACAGCTCCCCCAAAACAGCAAACACTACACATTTAAAGGCCAACTGCTGTCAGTGTCTTTGAATTCCACATTACCAGAACTACAAACCTCATGTCTTTCTCTCATAAGTGTGGAAAGCAAACAAGACCATAGGCAAGATGGTTCCTGGAACAATCAAAACACTCAGTAAATGCCAAGTCCTAATGTGCTCATTAGCCCCACAGGGCCAGCCAGAGGTGTGCGTGGCTGCTGTCAGCAGGAGGCTGCTGCTGGCTGATGGCATCAAAGAAGAGCTCCCAGCCTGCAGTCAGAGCCTAGATAGCATCCCCTTTGAAGCTGATAGTCGACTATCCCCCACTGGGAATAGGAGGGATTAGTTCTCATTATCCAACCTAATCCAACAGCGATTGTGTTCCTGGATTTGCCAGCTGAGTTACAGTAGATCTGGACTGGATGCTCACTGACATGCAATACCTAATCCCATGTGAGTCAGAGAAAGTACCTGCTTGCACCTGAGGCTGAGCACTTCACACACAGGATTGCCTTTAATCCACATGGTGAAACTACCAGTGGCATACTCCTTCCTGTTTCACAGATAGAGACTTGCAAGCTTGAGTAACTTGAAAGCATTGATGTCACAAGCCTAATTCCCAATGGCCTACAAACTGTAGGACTGAGACACCAGTGGGAATTTCTTAGTCTGAGCTAACCCTTTTGCCTGAGACTTGGAATGCTGCAAAAGGAAGAAACTATGTTTTTTAATAACTATGGAGGCTGGAAAGTCCAAGGTCAAGAGGTCTGCATGAGACATGGGCCTTTTTGCTTCATCATCCCATGGTATAACATGGGAAAGCAGGAAACACACATGAGTATAAAGAGAGATGGAGGACTAACTCATCTTACTATCAAAAACTCACTCCAGCCACAACTAACTCATTGCCATGATAACAGAATCAACACAACTATGAGAGTGGAGTCCTCAGAAGCTAATTTCTTCTTAAAATCTTCCCTCTCAACACCACTGTGCTGGGGATTAAATTTCTAACACATGAACTTTGGGAGACACATTCAAACCATAGCCCAGCTCAAACATTGTGCTGTTTCTTAGATTTACTGTTAGGGTTGTATGTGAGAAACAGAAGCAAGAAATAAGCACATGAGAAGATACTTGACATCATTAATCATTAAGGGAGTACAAATTAAAGCCACAGAGAGAGAACACTGCATCTGCAGTGGAAGGGCTGCAGTAAACAGAACTCTGACTGTTGGTAAGGATATGGAAGCAAATAAAACCCTCCAACATTGCTACTGGAAAAGCAAAAATTGAACAAATTCTTTACAAAAGGCTTTGGCAGTTCCTAAGAGGTTAAATGCACATTTACCAACTGAATCCACTATCTCACTCTTACATGTCTTCCCAAGAGAAATGAAAGCCTATATCAATGTAAAGACACACAAGGTTCTTTGCAAAAGTTGTAGAAGCCAAAAATTTGAAACAACTCATATGCCCATTGGAAAGAACTCAATGTCCAATTAGTGACCGGACAAAATGTGCATAGCCATGCAATGGAGGGGAGTGGAAACCCCAATGCCTATTAAACTGTGTCATACAATTATTTAATTATACATACATATATATATTAGTGTATATAATCATACAATTAGTCTATATTATGTTAGGGTTCTGAAGTTTTAGCAAAAATATGGAGAGGCTTCTTAAATGATCCAAGATGAAGAACCAACATTTACTGAGAAACTTTGCCACAACAGATAGTTTGGGTGTACGTATCCATTTGATTCTCCATCAGTCCTGTTACAGTGGATATTGTCACCTGCATTTACAGATGGGGAAACCGGGATTCAGACAGATTGAAAATCGTGACAGACACGTTAGGAATTAATGACACACACACATCGGACTCTAGAGCCTGGGCGTCTTCCTAAGGTGTACCCTGCCTGCCCACCTCCCTCTGGCTGAGCTGCTCACTCCATGGCAACCTCCCTACTCCGGCTGACATCAACCTGTAAGTGTACGTGGGCTGTTGAACAATCACTTTTGCAACTGGGGGTGGAGGAAACTGTGTAGGTGATGAAAATCACAATTCCACCTCCCTAAGTAACTCCCTTAAGCTGTGACCAAATTGTTTGTAAAAACTTCGACAGGGCATCGTAATTTTGAAACAAAAATGTATTCTTTTAAATCCTTGCTTACCAGTCTTTGAGTGTAGGATTTGTCAAGTTGTTGATACAGAAAATTATTTGCCATGTCTTTGCTTTCAATTCAACATTCTCAGAGAAAAAAAAAAGTTTCAATTTCTTCTTAGCTGGTGTGTTTTTAGCGAATGTGTTACACAGAAGGGATTGGTGCTCATGACAATGGGTCTTATGGCAAAACTCTGCACGGGTTTCAAAAATTTTGCCAAAACAAACTTATCTTTTAATTCTAATATCCAAGAGCTTTTTGAAGACCTCGTGTAAGTCTGGAACAGTCGGACTGGCTTAGCATGCCTGGTTATTTAATCTTCAGAAATGAAGGCTACCTTTACTACAGGAAAAGGTCGTGGAAAGGAAATAGAAAGACACAGCTCCAAATGCTGTTCCCGCTTTTATCTATTTTTAAATGATTGGCAGACTTTCCATCAGTGTTTTTAAAGTTTAGATGTGTTCATTAAAATGTAACACGGCATGAGTGCCATCTCATCAGCTCATTTGGGGGGCTTTTTGCCTTAAAATTAAAAAGAAGAAAAAACCTATCAATGACTCAATGAATGTTTCCATCTACCATTTTGACATGCCTGATAGCTTTTTCAGTAACTTACGCTATCGGTTGTCATAAAACACTACTGTGTCCACCTAGATCAGGAGTTGGCAGTCATTCAGATAATCCATGTAAATAGAATGATTTTTGGCTTCGCTATTTCCAGCAAAAGCATATGGAGCCTGAGTTACTTCAATTTTTCATGTTACCTTGCACAGATTTTACAAATTACTACTTTAAATCATCCTCTACATTTTTCTTCCTTCCGGTTATTTGACACGCTAGAAGAGAAACTATCTCAATTATTGTCAGACCAAAATAAACATTAAAAAAAAGAGTAATTTTCAAAGAAGGATCAAAATGGCCTTCAACCACCAGGCCAGCAGAATTCGGCCTCCTTGAAACCTAGACAGCCTAGTGTTCCATGCAATGCTACTTCGTTTTGTTTTGTTCTGTTTCATAAGGACCCATACTTCTCCAGCAGAAAATGTCAGCATCATTCAAACACTGCCATTCTCTAAAAACCGAGTTCTACATACTCACTTTTTAATATACTTTGTCCAAGGGCTGGGCTTGGAGGGCTGCTTTGGCGGTGGGCTCCCCGGGCTGTGTGGGAGGCATTGGGTGGGTGTTCCTGCTCCTGGGACGAAGATTCAAAGGAGTCACAGGGGTCAGGATCTTTTCCACAAACGCATCAAAGCCCACCTGGTTGTGTTTTCAGAAAAAGCTCCAGTCTTGCTAAAGGGGAAAGCTCTGTGCCCAGGTCAGGGCTGGAAGCGGAGCATTTTTCCCTGCCCTTGAGTGAACTAGGTCATTGCTGAAGCTGGAGGATAGTTTTCAGCATCACTATGACGAAACTTGAGGGCTGTCCCTGCTGTAGGTGCGACACTTGTTGACGCTGCAGCCCGAGAGGCCCTGGCAAGGGGGCCTGATAGAATGTGGCCCCAGAGAGATGAGGGACGAAAGGCAGACGGGCTGTCACCGACCGCTCCTCTGCTCCTGGCGCCGAGCAAAAAGGAGCAGGGGCGCAACTGCTCGCCTCTTAGGAAAAGTGAAAACTGGCTGCCTGATTAGTGATTTCTGGCCCCGGTAACACAGCGCTTTTCATACCGAGGGTATCAGGCATTTGAAGTGCACAGAGGAAACCCGAGGAGGGGCTGGAGGAAGGTGCAAATGAGAGTCAGATGGCGTTCCTTCAGATCCGCGGGTCTCTAAAGCTCTGAGCAAAACACAAGCCGCAGAAGTTGGGCAGTACCCAGCCTCCTCTCTCTCTCTCTCTCTCTCTCTCTCTCTCTCTCTCTCTCTCTCTCTCTCTCTCTCTCTCTCTCTGTCACACACACACACACACACACACACACACACACACACACACACACTCCCTATTTTCACTACTCCAGTAAGAATAGATAAAACTCCCCCCCTCCAAAAAAAAAATCAACAAAGTGGATTTGTACCATGCACACTTCTTTATTGAATTGGATCTAAATTTTCAAAGCAGCATAGAAAAGCCAAAAGTGCAGCTCTGTAACTCCTTTGCCTCTCCTCAAATGTTATTTTCATGTGTGACACCTGGAAACTGACAGCCTACAAAGAAACCTCTTGTGAGACTCCCAGAGGAGCTAAAATTAGCACCTCCCAGCCTGCGACTCTGAAAGGGGCACGACTGAATGTGCACTTTGCGCTGCACACCGAGCTTCTCAGAAGGAAGTTGTTTTGACAGGCACCACTCTACCTCAGGAGAATGGAATTTATCACAAGACCAGGAAAAAAAAAAAGTCATTTTAAATGATTAACTTATTGAGACCCAGACTTAACCAGTTCTGTGTTTGAAGTCACTCTTCAGGTAAAAAGCAAAAGATTCAAGACTCTGCAATTACAACTGTCTCTTTAGGAATCCTTCCATGAAATGCAACAGAATGTAGAGATGGCACATCTTTAGAGGTTCATGGTCTAACTTAAAGCTGGAGTCTTCCCCCGGGGCAAGGTCTTTCCCAAACAAGGAGAGATGAGGAGAGCAGGAAGGCGCAACACCAAAGAGTAAACAAATACTGTCACCAAAATTCAACAAATGCCCCAACTGCAATCGATAGTTATGGTATGATTTTAGGAGTACAAAAATGGAAGAGTTGAAACTTACTGCAAAGCTCTATTTTGTTCCCCACAAACAAATCCAAAGACCAGTTCCTTCAACCAGTAGTCTCTGTCTCCCTCCTAGGAAAATATAAGCAAGGAGCAGAGGCATGGATTTGACTGCACCTGCATTGCCATTCGTCAGTGAGCCTGCTGCTCTAGAGTTTCAGTTTTAACTTTAGATAGGGGGGTAGCAGCAATGAAGGAAAATCAGAAACAGAATTCAGGCTCAAATTCACTTTTGCCAAGACACTTGTTCTGAATTTTTTGAGATTCTTCAAAGGAGAGAAGGAAGGAGTAAGATGGTAAAGAGAAAAAGCAAGGGTGGATTGGAGTCCCTTCAATGGCGTCAGAAGCGCACTGTGCTTGCTACTAAACGTAAAGGCATCATTCCGAGTGGGGTGGAATACCAGAAAATATGTAAATGCTCTCTGTATTTCTGAAATCAGAAGAGACAAACTTCATTCATGGGAAGCTCTTCCTCGACTGGAACCAAGCTGGAAACAAATCTCTGTACCAGGTGTTTCTCTATTCCTTCTCCAAAAGTTCTTTTGCTTTTCCCAAATCCCATTTGTTGTTTTCTTGGAGTCCATGAATGGGTGTGGTCCTCAGCCTTTGGGGACAGAATCTGGGGAGTTTCTAGTTAATTCATCAGGCTCTCACCCTGTTCTTCACTCCCATAATTTGGGTTTAGATTGGTACGTGATGGATTTATCTGCTCATTTTATTCCTCCTGGCACAGAAGGCCAGAATGTTGGTGTAGAATGGCACAAATGATGTCATGCCCTTCTCAGCTGGGCACATTCTTGGCTGAGGCTGGGTACCAATCACATGTCAGATCAGAGGTTCTGCCACCATCCTCGGGCCAGGCTGAAACTGAGCAGGCTGTTCTTGCTGCGGAGAGCTGCCGTGTCTGGGGAGGGTCCCCTGGCACCAAGAGTGACAGCTTGATTCCCTCTCAACTGTTCACTCCCAGCCAGGATTCAGGGCTTCTGCTCAGTGATCGGGACCTGAACCATGTGCTTGCAACTTGCCTTTATTCACCTGTTTGGAACGGCTGCCTTTCACTCAGGTAGGTCTGCAGAACAGAAGCTTTTCTTTCAAGTATTGTGGCAGTCTTGTCTGTCTATTGATAAGGACAGGACTCTGCTCTCTCCCGGAGTTTTTATCGCAGGTGATGGATTTCTGTAAAACTTCATGAGAAAGTGAAAATGACAAGCAAAAAAAAAAAAACTGTAATTTTCAGAATAAACAAAACAAAAAGGAAATGATCTATCTTCTGACAGGGGCTTCTCCAAAGATATACATGTTGTTTGGATCTCAGGATTCACTTCCCCCTGGGCAAACCCCATTCATACGTTGTAGTTAAGGCTCATAGGATGCATTGCATCCATCATGTTCCCAAGGTGCTATACGTTCCAGCTACCTAACTAAGCACCTGGGAAAAAATTCCCAACTTCCCAAGACAAAATTCTATCACAGTTCATTCCAGAGCCCCAGCTCCCAAATTCAGGAGCATACAACTCAGACCAGCTTGCCCACGTGCCTGGCAAGGTGCCAATCCACCTTGAGCCATGACCTCCTGCTTTCCAAGATGTGCGTTAGCAGAAAGGTAAACCTGGAAGTGGAGTTGAGGCTTGAGCTCAGGCACTCATGAAGGAGTCTGGGTGTCCCAGACAGAGGCCAAAGCACAGCACAGCTTCATTTTTAAAATAGTCAAAGAGAGAAGGGGAAAAAGCATTGAAGCATTGCAACTCTCAGAACAAGAACAAAATTCTAAATTTCTTAAGTGTGTACATTGAGCCCTAGGCTCAACAAGTACAAATCAGCGAAGTATTCATGAAGGCTAATTGAAGTAATTGGACACTGTGTGTGGAAATTTAAATTTTAAAAACATTTGTGTTTTTGTGTGTGTGTGTATAAAAACATTGTATAACTGTTTGCTTTTCATACCTTTTCTTCTAATTGTAAGAGCAATCAAGGCTCTTTGCCACCAACTTTTACTGTTTTCATGGTAAACAGCTCTACCCTGTCCTCATCCTGTCTCTTATCCTTAGCCATGTGAAAAGGGGTGTTCACCAGGAGCTCAGGAGGTAAGCCTAGGTGTGAAAAGGGGTGTAAGCCTGGACATAGAACTGCTCATCCTGCCGATTTGTTTGATTGGAACATGAGCAGAAGCAGAGTGGCAGAGCTCAAGCAGGCGGGTGCTTGAACAGGGTGGATTTCATGGCCGAGACCCCCCACCAGTGCCACATCGAGCACCGTTTTTGTGTACTGAGGAAAGGGCTGTGTGGCTGAAAGAATAATAGTGAGCTACACAGGCACTGGGTTGGGAGAGAACTCACTTTTAGCTCAACACATTGCACTGATCTCCCAGGAAAAATAGTACTGACTTGGCATCCTACAGGTTTCACCCAGAATAGGTCTGGGTGGCCTTTAGACCTAACAGCCAGCAGGTTCTGGCAAGACCAGCACTGCAGACAACCAAATAAGTTAGGACAACTGGTGTTTCCCTAATCCAAGGAACTGCTCGGACAAGGAGTGGGCAAAAGGCTATGCAGGCAATGGTGAGGTCACAGCACAGGACCACAGCGGGTGCAAAGTGGTGATCCAGGAGCTGGGGCTACAGAGACTGTGGTGCAAGCCTAGCACAAGTGCCCAGGACTGAAACTCCTGGAGGGTGTGGCACAAGTGACTGCAAATGAAGACTTGGGAACAGAACACAATAGTAAAATTGACCTGAAGAGCAGTGAGCAACAGAGCTTAGAAACCAACCCGAAGAGGAGGGATCTGCTAATCACAAGCACGATGACCAAGAGCAAAGGAAGGGACAGAGGCACAGTGAGTATTACTGATGCCTCCCATGCAAAGCAGCAAGAGCCTTTGTCAACCTCAGAGTTAAGTGAGAAGGGCAACGAGGAAATGGGGGATAAGGAATTTAGACGGTTGTATGGCGGGCCCGGCGCAATAGCATAGCAGTTAAGATCCTCGCCTTGAACGTGCTGGGATCCCATATGGGTGCCGGTTCTAATCCCAGAGGCTCTGCTTCCCATCCAACTCCCTGCTTGTGGTCTGGGAAAGCAGTCGAGGACGGCCCTAAGCTTTGGGACTCTGAACCTGCGTAGGAGACCTGGAGGAGGTTCCCCTGGAGGAGGTTCCTAGCTCCTGGCTTTGGATTGGCTCGGCTCTAGCCATTGTGACAGCTTGGGGAGTGAATCATCGGACTGATCTTCCTCTCTGTCTCTGCTCCTCTCTGTATATTTGCCTTTCTAATAAAAATAAATAAAATCTTTAAAAAAAAAAAGGTTGTTAACAACAATGAGACGTGCATACCGGAGTTCGAGGAATTTAAGGAACATTTCACACAGGAAACAGCAACACTGAAACAAAATTAAGCCAAATTACTGGAAATGAAGAACACAATGGAGCAAATTCAAAATTCCATGGAAAGCTTCAGTGGCAGAATGAGTAAGGCAGGAGAAAGAATCTCACAGTTGGAACATATTTCTTGCCACAATGGGGAAACAATCAAAAAGCTGGAAGTGGAACTGAGTCAAGCTAAAAAAAATTCAGGAATTAAGGGACATCATTAAAAGGCCAAACATAAGACTTATTGGAGTTCCAGAAGGCACAGAAAGAGAAGCTGGGTTTTAATACAATAGTAAAGGAAAACTTCCCTAATTTGAAGAAAGAATTGGGAAATGAAGTACAACA